ATGGCACGAAAAACACTGTGAGTGAACTAGTTAGTAATTAGTTCTAGAGATTAACAGTCAACTAGTTGACATGCCTCCGGGACCGTCGCTCCTCCATAGAAGTGTCTCTTTGAATCAATTGAGCATGAGTATCTCTTATATGTTCAAATATTGATTCTGTAGCATGCGTATGACTCAACCCTTCTAATTCTGAGGAAAGATATTCACATCTTCTAACCCCAGTACACTGAAGAGCATATCTCTTGACCTGACATCTTAGGAAAGTTGAGTATGTTTCACGGCTTGAACCCACACGCCGGTGAGAGTATTGAAACTAAACCAGTCAGTAACTAGATATTAGAGGTAAACTAATTCTATCTTACTGATGTCAATGCTTTTCCAATAACATCAGGATGTAGAGCACGTGTATTGATAATGTATGCATAACCATTGGGATCCGAGGCTGGATAATCGGGCAGAAAATCAATGTATTCAACTTTAGCAGCTGTCATTGGATTCCGGGCTCCATGGCTTAAAACAGTGAGTGGTGGCATCTACATAAACTAGTTAGTAACTAGTAAAAACTGGGTGTACTCCACGTATATATGTATATATATTTGTACCTGATTTGGTGGGGTAACATCGTGTCTTGCAGTATTCCGATCATGTAAAATCTGCTCGTTTTGTTCATCATATAGACTGGATTCAGAGATAGAATCCGGTACAGTAGATGAATCAAGATTAAGATCAATAAGATCATTGATCAATGTATGATCATTCTCAAGGTAATCATAAACATTGATCGTTTCCATGATGAGAACTAGTTGTACGAAATATGTACATGGTACGTTACAGAGTGCGGTAAGGCCAGGGTGGGCTGAGCTTTTATGTTTGAGGTCACATGTGCCAAGAGCCCCACTTTGAGGGTGGGCTGAGGTCTGCGGTCGGGTGGCCTCAACTGTAATCTGGCTGCATTCGGCATTCAGGGGTCATGTGAAGTCAGGTGACTTGTGCTGATGCTGATTTCCTATTCTAGACGGTTACATTGACCGGTCACCGATGCAGTCAGTCACACCCATTTTTCAATCCGGACAGACAAACACACAGCCAGCGCTAGACAACGCAGAGACAGGGACAGGGGCTGTCTTGGTTGCTATTGTGATGCTTCGATTGTCTCACTAACCCAGCCTAGCAAACTACTTATAAGCATTCATACACAGCACTGGCCAAGAGTATCCGTAGACACTACATGGTACAGAGTAGACACTAACAAAATGTAACATTCTGAAAACAACATAGTGATATTAATGCATCTACTGAAGCTATCTGAGATTCAGTTCAATAGATCCTGCGGTGATGTCATTCGCCATCTCCTCAATTCCCGCCCGCCGGTATTCAACTCTTGCGTTGTTTGCGCTGCTCATCACTGATAATGGATAACGAGCGACTGTCAGATGCCATAGTACGTCAATTATATACTCATCAATTTAAATAAAACACTAACAAGCTAGAGCGATGGGTCGTCTGCCTGTGACACCGATCCCCAGAATCAGCTCGAAGTCGTCTTCTACCCCGACTCCAGTCACCGTCGCAAATCCTCCCTCGTCGCCGTCGATAATTACCACGCAAAGCCCCAAATCGACAAAAATGAGGATAAAACCGCATGTTTCGTCCATTCCCTCATAGCCGGGGAATGGGTTTCCCCTTCCAGGGGATACCCCGACCCTAGGGGAGATCAACCCGGTTACAGTGCTGATGAGGCTGCCATCCTCGATGATACTACCTTGCCCGCCGGTGATGAGGCAATGCCTGTCGTGAATCTGGGCCCTAAGTCCATTAGCGGACGGGGAACTCCGACCATTGTACAATCTCGACATCTGACCAAGCGTCAGCTGTCCGACATGGCCTGGAACGTGCGCAAACTGTCGAAGAAATTGGGCAGTATCAGACTGAAACTCACCGTCAAGACCGTTTTTCTCGTCACAAAGGCTCACGATGAATCCCTCATTAGTCTGACTCGCAGGGTCACGCAGTGGCTGCTGTCCAAGGAGCGCGACACCCAGTACGTTGTCTACATCGAGAAGCGACTTGAGACACATCCCGACTTTGCGGCATGGCAACTGGAGGAGGAGGAGCCGTCAGCCAAGGGGCGGCTCAAGTACTGGGATCCAAAGTCGGCGCTGGATAACCCGCACCTCTTCGACTTTGTTATCACCTTGGGCGGGGATGGAACCGTACTATATACTAGCTGGCTCTTCCAACGCATTGTCCCGCCTGTGCTGTCATTCTCACTGGGTTCTCTAGGGTTTTTGACCAAATTTGACTTCAATGACTACCAAAGCACGTTGGATACGGCATTTCGGGATGGCGTTGTGGTCAGTCTACGGCTACGGTTCGAGTGTACCATCATGCGGAGCAATCCACAACCTAAAGAGGAGCTCTCAGAGACCAACAAGCGGGATCTGGTTGAGGAATTGATAGGTGAGGAGGTTGAGGGTACTCTGACACATACACCAGACAAGGTCGTTCAAATTTTGAACGACGTGGTCCTGGACCGTGGACCAAACCCAAGTACGTAGCCATGACTGTTTTTGGAGTCTGGTTACTGACACCCGCAGCTATGTCTCAAATCGAACTGTTTGGCGACGATGAGCACTTCACGACAGTGCTCGCAGATGGAATCTGCATCGCCACGCCTACCGGCTCGACGGCCTACAACCTGGCCGCTGGAGGATCATTGTCGCACCCAGAGAACCCCGTGATTCTTGTCACGGCCATCTGTGCCCATACGCTGTCATTCCGGCCGATCATCTTACCGGATACCATTGTGCTACGAATGGGAGTGCCCTATGATGCGCGGACCAGTTCATGGGCCAGTTTTGATGGACGAGAGAGGTATTTTTAACGTTTACACAACCACTGGAATGTGCTAACCATGGTAGAATCGAATTGCACCCCGGAGACTACGTGACAGTGTCTGCATCGCGGTATCCATTTGCCAATGTGCTGCCGCAGGGAAAACGCGGGGAGGATTGGGTGCATAGCATTTCCAAGACACTGAATTGGAATTCTCGACAAAAGCCTAAAGCATTGCATTGATCTTGGATCTATTTTGGATATATTTGCATATGAAATTTTATAGTAGGGCAATTCTTCAGGTGCTCTAGAAGATTCGTCTTTTTTTTTTTCCGCGATGGTTTCCGGGGCAGCCAGACCGCCCTATAAAAACCCGCCGAAATTTTTTCTTCGAATTTTTTTCTCTTTTCCTCTTCGACCACTCTTTTCACCATAGCTGCACAGCAGCTCGAGAATAAAATGGCTATTCACTTTTGCTAAACACTATAGAGCAGTGATTATATCTACTAACTTGGTGAGTTTTATACCTTTTTTTTTTTTTTTTTTCTGCAGCAACATGGCGAGCTCCGCTCGCATGATGAAAACTTTTCCTACATTCGCAGTTTCCACGCTAGTCGTCGTTTGAACCCATTCTAGACGGCGTTGAGCGCTAATTCTTCCTTGGATGTCTGACTCCATGTTGCTTGCTTTTGCATTGTCACTTTCTCGTCGAAATTGAGGTTGAGGTGTGCCATTGCTAACATATACAAGTCTAAGTCCAGGTACATCTTCAGTCTAATACGCTGTACGGGCAATTTGGTGGTCCTTTTGTATGCCATTTGCGCGTTCAGGAGCAGGATAGCTTTGTACAAGTATGGTGGTTATGGTGGATAGAGAGTTGATGATGGGACTACAGAGTAGTCTGTACTGCATCCCCAGTCTCGACGTCCGCCTATATAGCTTTAGAACACTGCAAAAAATATTCAATGGATCTAGTTCGGTCAGTTTGCTTTTCAGATTCAACCATAATTGTAGATCTCTATCAAAATGCACGCGTGGTGCTTTGCGTCTCCGTATCTCGATATCGGAGTAGCCAAAAGGAGTTAACTTTTACAACTCTATTTCACTTCAACCTCCAATGTCAGACTCCGTCAACACTGCTCTCATTGTTCTTCATTGTTGAACTATTTGTCAATTGAACATGCGATGATTCTTTGATCACCCTAAACTAGTCCGTTCTCGATTGACCTCCGTCTCCCCGTTTTATCACCACACCTCCACAACTACCATCACCTCCCCGTATTCGATACCCCAATACAGAGCGCCATGGCACACCCCAGACACGGCTCGATGCTGTCCTTTGGTGGCGGACCTAACAACACCACACCATCCGAAAAGCCTCTATTCCAAAACGCTCCCATTTCAACAGCCTCACAATCGAGCCCCGGTCTGCGCGTACCCTCAAATCGCAAAACCATCTACGACAGACATCTGAATCGCAGCCGCAATGCAGAGCTCAGTCGGGCTAGCTTTGCTTTCCTCTTCTCAGAGATGGTCACCTATGCTCAACGGCGGGTGACGGGTATTCAGGATTTGGAGAGACGGTACTCACCCGCTCCCAGAAGTTATCAGACGGATAGATGCTAACGGTGCATACAGACTAAACGAACAAGGCTACCCCCTTGGCCTCCGTCTTCTCGACCTTCTCTTCTATCGCACCATCGCCGGCTCCTCGTCCTCATCCTCCGCCTCCGCGCTTTCAACCTCCTCCACAACCTCCTCACCTCCCAACCGTCCCCTCCGTATCCTCCCCCTTCTCCATCTCATCCACGGCCCCCTCTGGCGTCTCCTCTTCAACCGCCCCGCCGACGCCCTTGAACACTCCGTCTCCCCTGATACCCCGAATGAGTACATGATTACCGACAATGATCCGATGGTGAATACGTATATCAGTGTGCCACGGGAAATGAGCATGCTGAATTGTGCTGCGTTTGTCGCGGGGATTATCGAGGGTGTTTGTGACGGGTGCGGGTTTGAGGCGAAGGTGTCGGCGCATAATCAGCCGTCGGAGATGTGGCCGGGACGGACGGTGTTTTTGTTACGGTTTGGGGAGAGTGTGATGGAGAGGGAGGTGGTGTTGGAGAAGGCAGGTGTTAAGTAGCGTTTGAGTAGGAAGTACAGATCCAGTCTACAGGCGCTAAGCAAGTTGCTCAATTGACAATGTCTTGATATGTGCTGTAGATTCAAACGTACAGGTAACCTAGATATATTCATGCAATGCTCCCCAACGCCTATGCAGCAATTATTATACACTGAATCATGTCTCTGTCCGTCTGCGCTTGTCCCGATCCTCATATGGAGAAGGACTTCGTTTCCTCCCACCGCCACCAGGTCTGTATGAGTCTCCACGGCCCCTTTGTGGAGAAAATGATCGCGACCTCGGCCTCGCCCTCGACGTTGACCTCCGTCGCTCTCTCACAGCACTAGCATTCGCCCCCGTAGGACGAGTCCTCTCATCACCCCGGTCTGGCATGAATCGTTCATCAGTAACCCCAGCCGGCGGCCCATCACGACGACGACGACCATCCAGCCCTTCACCGAAATGTCCGGTATCCTCACTCCTAAGATCGCGATACCGCGTCCGACCCTTCTTGCCTACCTGCGTCAAGTCGCGCACCTGCATGTACTGCGGTAGTGTCTCGCGGGAGACCTCATCGACGAACTTCCGGCCCATGACATTCCGCTGATCGAGACCCTCGCGCTCAAGATCACCACGAAAGAACGCACCTTTGTGGAAATACCGTTGCATGAAACCCGGTTGTCCACGCGTAGCGTCTTTGTCCTCCTTCTGCTTCGCGAGGAACTCCCGATCTTCGCGGTCGCGCTCCTCTGCTGTGAGATTCCTCCGTCGCTCGATCTCCTCGCGCTCTTTTTCAGATTCCTCAATCGCCTCCCGCTCGCGCTTGACACGTTTCAACTCCCGAAGCTTCCACGCTGCATGTTCTGCCTCCGGGTCGAGACCGTCCGTATCATCGATGGCAGCTTCTTCGGCGACTTCGGCTTCATCATCGTCCCATTGGCGGTTTGCGGCGCTGCGTTCCAGCGCAGTTTTCTCGAGTTGTTCGCGGATTAGCATGTCGGCTTTCTCCTTCCGTTGTGCTCTCTGGGCTTCTGCTTCGGCGGCGGTGTCTGCTTCCGTCGTGTCCTGGGTAGCATCTGGTTTGCGCTGGTTTTTCTTAATGAACGTAGGTCGGAGGAGGACGCGTGGTTGTTCGTCTTCGGAGCTTTCTTCCTCGGAACTTTCTTCTGATTCCTCCTCTTCTTCCTCGTCTTCGTCTTCGTCTTTAGCTGTAGGAGCAGGTGCTTGCGCCCCAGTAAGCGTCGCTACCTTCGCCAGAGCTGCCCCTGGAGCACCTTGCTCATCCTCCTCATCCTCAGTAACAAAGCCATCCTCATCATCCGGCTCCTGCTCCTCAATTTTCACATCCTTAACACCTTTCGTAATCGCGCCCGCAGGAAACGAACTCGCCTTCGGCTTCTGCTGCTGCTGTCTTTGTCGCCTCTGTGCCTCCGCACGTTTCCTCCCCTCATCCTCCTCTCTCGCCTTCACGGCGGTCTCATCTTCCTCGTCTTCGTTTTCGTCTGAGGACGGTTCTTCGGCGATTGGTTTTCCGGGGCGGTAGCGGGCTGGGCGAGTTGGGTTTGCGGTCATGCCGCGGTGATGGGAGGGGAGGGGAGGTGGCATTGTTGTTTGTTTTTGGAGGTTGGGAAATAGGTGTGGTCAAGTGGTATGGTGTTGATATCGGAGCTATCGACAATTTGACGTCCGAAGTTGTCACGTGATGGACTTTGCAATAAGAGATTTATTCTTGTGAGGGAAAAGAAAGAAAAGAGAAACAGATACTGGATATAAAGGCATTTCTCACTGTATTTCTTGATACCTATGGTAGAACACCAGCGCAATCGTAGAATTGAATAGTCGCCAATCTGGGTAATATCAATCTATCGTCACGTGTCTACGCGTCGCGCGCGACACCACTGCATTTCCACCATCCAACTTACAGCTACAGTGGCCAACACCAACATCAACATATTCTACAGAGCACTTCTCTTAATTTACAAATACTAAACGACCCCCACCGAAAAAAAAAAGCCACTCTATACCCAGAACAAAAGCAAAATGTCACTCCAAACCCCCCGCGTCCTCCCCGCCCACCTGCACGCCTTCCACCCCTCCAGCGGCGCCAATTCAACACACACAATCCGCCTGCTCGGCACCGTATCCGCACTACACGGCGACACAGCAACGATAACATGTGGTGGAAACGGGGACGTCACGCTTGTTCTACGCCCAGACTCGCATCTGCAGATGGGAAAGTTGGTGGAGGTTGTTGGGAAGGTTATGGATCTTGAGGGGGGTGTATGTTTTCCTTCTCTGGTTTTTTGGGTTGCATGGTATAAGGAATCGAAACTAATGAGTGCAGGGTCTTGGCGTGAGGGTTCTTGGGACAACGGACTGGGGGAATTCGGCTGATTGTGGTATGTTGACTTATTCTTTGGGTGTATACAGGTGCTGACGGGGAAGATTACAAAATTTATGAAAAGGTCGTCGAGGCTACGCACAAGTTGAAGTCTATTTTTTATGATTCGAATGAGTAATGACGTTGTTTATGGTTATGTTTAGCTATAATGAAGACTTTGACAATACATATGGCACCAACGAGCTTGAGTAGGCGTATGTATGTAGGGGCTGAAAGCCAATGTATTTGCACATCATCCCGAAGACATATACACACTACACTATGAACAGAGTAAAAATCGAGCGTATTTTTCAATCTTATTTATTGAGATATCAAGACCAAATTACTGGCATAACCAAAACCTGACCGTATGCAAGACCATATGCGAGCCCCTAAACAAAAGGAAATTCGTAACACCAAGTAGAACATAGTCACCGTAGACTTGGAATAAATCAAAAGAAGGCCACCAAACGCCATCGCTAAAATCGCATAAAGAATCGAATAAAAAGTAAAAGAGAAGCAGCTTTTAACATCGTTAGGCCGAAGCCGAAGCATCATTGGGGCTTGCATGGTTTTCTTTGTCGTCGTTGCTTTTGACTCCCAAACCCAGAAAATCAGATCCAAACAAACCGGATTCGCTAAACGGATTGTTCTCATTTTGGAAATTAGGATCAGACAAAATCATATTGATGAGATCCTGGTCATCTCCGTTCGGTTGGTCTGCATCGGATCCCATGGGAGATACATAGTCGGACGCCATCCAGTCAGCCCAGTCGCCGTTCTTGGAAGGGTCAAATAAAAAGGATGCGTCTCCGTTGGTACCATCTTCAAAGATACCCGCGATATTGTCCAGTGAGTTACCGGGCAGCGACGAAAAGGTATCGGAGCGTGGTGGCTTAGGAGTCTTGTTCAGACGCGATGGACTTTCTTGAATGCGCTGAAGCTTCTGCGCAGTGAGCTTAGTCGGGCTCAAGTCAGAGGGATCGACGTCCTTGCGCCGAGAAGTAGGCGAGTTGTAGGGCAGCGCAAGTCGCTTATCACCCAAACGTGGATTACGCCTCCTAGGCGTCGGGCTCGCGGGGAATCCCAGCTCGAAACCAGGCCCTTCGAACAAGCAATTCAGATCGCTGTGGACCCCAGGCACATGGTTCTCCTTATTCTGAGGCCGTTTATCAGACTCGCGAGAGGCAATACGAGGGCTGCGCCGTGGGCTGTTCACAATGGAATCGCCGAGAACCTTCAGAGGCCCTTCATTTTGAGAAGGAAAAAGATTCCTCCTCACCGGCTTCGGTGTGAGACTGTTCTCACTTGTCATCGGTGCATTCCGCGCCGGACTGGACTGAATTGCCCGTCGCAGGGTTTCCATTGGATCTTGATCCTTCCGATGTTCCAGGCTGTTCGCGCGGCGCCGTTTTGATGGCAGATTTTGCCCCTCATTGTCGTCCTTGTCATTCTCTGTATGAGTAGGTCCTTCTTCGGCTGGCGACGACGCATCAGTGCATCCTGGGGAGGACGTGGCGGGCTTTGCGGAGAGTGGATGGATGCGGGCTGCGGCGTTCATATTCGACAGAGGACCAGTGCGTCTCTGGGATCGCTTTCTTTTGCTGCTGTTCGCATTTTGCGTTTTGTTGTTCCATTTGTGTTCAGGTCGCATGCTTTTGAACTTTTGGAGCCAAAGACCACAGGCTTATCTGTAAGTTAGCATTTGCAAACTCGTGACATTCCTTCCGTCTGTTAGCACTTACGATTACAAAGAGAGACCTGATCAAAGTCTTTGTCGTTGTCGAGCAGAGTCTTCTTGCAAATTTGGAACTTCGTGACTTTTTCCTCGTCATCTCGGTCGAGAGTCTTCCAGAACAAAACAGTGGTGTCCGCATTTTTGCGCTCGTTGGCATCTTCCTCACTGCCTACCACTTCTTTGAACCAAGCTCGACGCCAGGTAGGCGTCTCAATTGCGCCACAGTTCCCACAATAAGGAGGGGCCTGTCCACTGCGAATACACTGGTCAAGACGGGCATGAATCTGTTTTGACCTCCGTGCACCCGTTTTGCTACGGGTTTTACCATCATCATCTGGAATCACAATTGGTGCCGGCGTTTCAGCAGCGGAAATATCACTCATTGGACCAGTGCAGCTGTAAGTAGGCTGTGGGGGAGGCGGTATTGGGTCACTTGCAGGAACTGTGTTCAGAAGCTGCTCGAGTTCACACTGGGAGATGGGCGCAGGGGCCAGAGGTTTGGGTCCCGGCCTAGTGCTGGCCCGGGAAGACGGTCTGGAGCCTGAAGCACTAGCGGGGGCTCGCGGGAGCGGTGGCGCAGACTCTTTGTGATGATGTTCTAGCTCGCTGGTCAAGAAATAGTCGCTCTGGTTCTTGTCTGGAATCGCCGGGGCACTGGCGGGCGAGTTCGCGCTAATGGCAGACCGAACGGTTTGCTTGTTCCGGATGGTGCCATTGGATAGTCCTGTAGTACAGTCATCCAAAGGCGTACCGAGGTCATCATCAAGGAGCTCGTCAATTCCTCCGCTCATGAAACCAGAGTCAGGGTCTGGGGCGAAGTGTGGCAGATTCGGGCTGGAGCGGGCGGGGATCCCACCATCGAGAACGGGAGGGGAAGAAGGCATGTTAAATGAAGGCTCGAAGAGGCCATGGTACCGGGGTTCCTCTGGGGAATGAGCGTTCTGATCGCCAGAAGGTTGATCATCGCTTGGTGGATATGGCGACGTATAGCGGGTGCTGGGCTGGAAGGATTCACGTAGAGAACTGGTCAAGGGTCGTATTCTTCGGGGGATATCATTTGGGCCAGAGATGGGGGTGGGTGGCCGAATGGGCTCCTCGATGGAGTTTTCGACGATACCGCTAGAAGGATTGAGGGGTGTCGGGCGATGAATGCGAACAGAAGCAGCGGTACTTGCTGCTACGCGTAACGAACTTGGCTGTTTTTCGATATTGAAGTCGAACTTCCCTGGCTGCCCTGTCTGATACACCCTGGCTCTCTTGCGTTGTTGCGGGTCGGCAGACTCTTCACTACCACCATAGCCTGATTGAACAGAACCCCTGCGGCCGGCGAATGACATCTGAGTGGGAAATTCGGAGTCGTGCATGGAAGCACTGGACGATGGGCGAATCAGGTCGTGCTGCGACGATCTGTTTTCTGATCCCAGTTGTTGGGACTGTGGCTGTGGTTGCTGCTGGAGTGACTGTCGTTGCGACGAGAGTTGTCCTCCAGGTGTCGAGTGTCTGCTGGGCGGGACAAATGATGCCGACGACTGGGCAGGGGACAGAGCCCGGAAGGACTCAGTGGGAGTCATAGCAGGGAAGTCCCTCGGGGTTGACCCCTCGCTAAGTATTTGGTGGAATCTCTCGATACCGGCATGGTCCATGGGGGAGGAAACTGTCCGGTCCGGTTGCTGAGCCCTGAGACCAGCCAAGATGTCGGGATTCTGGCGGATATAGTTTGTCCATGCCTGAGGGTCGAAGCCATGGGGGATGATGTTGCTGAGCTCCCGGTATCGTTGCATGCTGTCAAAGTATTCACTTTGTGAAGCAGTGGGAACGGGCACAAGGCGCAGTTTAACCTCTAAAGTCTCCTGAGCACCTTTCGAGAATAAACCTAACACATTTTTGCACACTTGACCGGTGATCATGGTCTTAGATTGACTATCGAGCGCATCCGAGTTCGAAGTGGATGAGGCAAGGACCCATGATAACATTCCCTGTCCGACTAGAGGCGTCTCATATTCCGAGTAATCGTAGGCATACACGGTGTAATCTTGACCGAGATTTGCTATGAGTTCGGGACTAGAAATGTATTAGCATTGGGAGTGCTATGATGGCAAGCAAGACAAACCTTGCGGACACAATGGCTTGAATGCAGGTCTTGAGCTCGACGACGCCAATCTGAGTCTTCTCGTCCAGATAAGCTGTCTGGAGTTCGAGAAGATTGGGCCACCGAGCCAGGCAATTTGTCTTGTTTGCATCGTCGAATGTATAAAGTACCTTCACTATGATCCCTCAATTGCAAACATTAGCCCCTCCCCTTTCGACGACCTCAATTGGGATGGACAACTTACGCCTCATGGGCCGGACGGATATTCCGTCCTGGGATTCCATTCCACCAGATGAGATTTAACCATAAGCAGATGTAGGGATCTGAAATACCGAGGGAAAAGGTGCTGAAGAAAGTGACAGGAAGCGGCGGACGGCTGGCAGTTCAAATTGGCTGAAAGACGCGGATATCGAGGGACGCGGAGCAAGGATGGGATGGAAAAGAAAGCAAGGCTTGGAAGATAATCGAGGTGTCAATTCCCTTTCTGCCAACCTGAAGCGGGGATTTCGTCAACTAGGGGATGATAAGGTCGTAGTATACGCGGTATGCAGCGGTGGGATGAAGAGCAATCGAGGGGAATGCGAGCTGCAGAAGTACGAAGGACGAGAATGGCAGTCGGAAGACGAAATACGGCAATTGAAGTTCGACTTGCAGGCGGTAGGAAGCGGTTGTAGAAGAAAAGGAGCGTGGAGGAGAGAAGAGAAACAGAAAAGGGTAAAATAGAAAAGAAGCGACGCCTTGCGTTTGGAGATGTCGAAAAGCGTGTCTCCGTTTGACGCGACGTGACGCTCCGCGGGAAACAAACACGACAAACACGCGTATCACGTGATGCATGCCAAGAGCTCGGGACGGAGCCAAGTTCAGTTGAGAGAAGCTGCAGTTGTTGGAGAAGAGAAGAAAGAAAAGACCTAAACAGCAGCACTTTCGCTTTCTTATATCTGGTCATTATGTCTGCTGAACCCAAGATCCAGTACGTCTTACAGCCTTATGAGTCATCTAGTCTCTTTTTCTCTTTATCTGGACGCGGTATCGTGCTAACCATGTGTCTTCACTTAGAGATCTGCTCAACAAGCCCAAGAGCGAGCTCACGTACGTGTCCTCCTGTTTGATCCTCTGCCCCTCGTTTATCTATCGCTTATCGCGTCGCATCGCATCGCATCGCATGGATCATCCGGAAGTCAGCTGACCATCCTAGTGAATATGAGGTCGCTCTGGTGGAGGAACATGAAATGACCGCAGGCCCTCTGTCCCTCCTGCAGACCGCGACGCGCACCCACACTCAAGTACTCATCTCATGCCGGAACAACCGCAAGCTGCTCGCGCGTGTCAAGGCTTTCGACCGTCACTGCAACATGGTGTTGGAGAATGTCAAGGAGATGTGGACGGAAAAGCCCAAGGGCAACAAGGGAAAGGGAGTTAACAAGGACCGATTCGTGAGCAAGATGTGCGTATTTTCCCCAAGAAATATGTTGTTTTTCATGTCGGATGGTGGCTAATGGCCATAGGTTTTTGCGAGGCGACTCTGTCATTCTTGTTCTGCTCAGTTGAATGGTTTGCTCTTTGGTTATTTCACGTGCGATCTATACGGACCTATACAGGTCCTCTCTACGACGAGCCCGTCGTCGGCAGTCCGATAATTCTACCTAGCCGGACGAGGTTTGACACGACACACAAGAGTTTTGTATGACGCGGAGCTTTCCTCTTCCTATCTTCTCAACCTGTTTGATATTTCATGTCGATATGGGGACAAGGCGTTAGTGGTGTAATTCAACAAAAGTGATAAGCATCACGTGCGTCAATCTGAGGCTGTAATCGTGCATAGTATACTGTATCTCGTAAAATAACTTCCATACATCCTTGACACCTGACAACTGACAACTGACGCAATAATGAGTCTTACACTTATAGTCAATTCCCCGCACTGTAGGCTGGTAATTCCATTCCGTTCTTTGTGCTGCACACAACCTGTACTGCACATAATCAGCGTCTCGGCACGAGTTCTTTTATTGTGCTCCTACTTGTATGTCAGTTACTCCACATGGAATATTCCATACGCCGGGGAATTGCATTCAAACTCCGAGCGCACATCTTGCGACACGAATACTATTCCGGAGTACGTACATAGTACTAACCGGTATATCCCGATTGGACAGCCTAATCGACTGAACCTTGTTTCGACATATACTTGTACTTGTCACTATCCCTGCTTATACAGAGTTGTAATAGTAGGCGGGGTAATGTTCCATCATTAATCATTGACCATATCCATGCATCTAACCTTGCCTCATCTATTACAACACGGTCCATCCGGAAGACTAAGCGAACTATCCAAAACAGGAAAAGGGTACCAAACCCCACCCGGGTCGATCGACCCCACATTTTCCCATAAATAGCTAGGCTGCATGCGTCATTTCCGCATCCGGACGAGGTCATCTGAACCGTCTGAACAAGGAAGATCCGAAAATAACCTAACCTAAGCTTAGTCTTTCCGTTCCCGTGGCTTCTCGGCTTCTACGTGTCTTCCGCCACCTAACCTCGGCAATCGCAATTGAGTCATACATCATCATGTATTATGATTAATATACCAACTATCATAACTAATCTGTACACGAAGAAAAAGAATCGGGTCGGACGCGTAGCATAATCAAGGTCTAGATTAGACGACCGTCGCGGCCAATCCCTTGAAAAACTCACTCAAGCCGTACGCACCCGGATCCGGGATCTTCCCCACCCATTCTTCCTCGCCGCCAACATACACTGCCCGTCCCAGACTGGCATGCATGTATTTGGTGGCTTCGCTGCCATCCTCGGCTGCCTTTGCGGCCTTCCCGAGGTCCTTGGTTTCAGTGAGGCGCTCACAGAATGGCACCAGCGCGTCGATCATGGTGCGGTCTCCGGGTTGCGCAGGGGTGTACTTGGCCAGCGCCTCGCGGGAGTACTTGAGTGCTTCAGCCCAGACCTGTGCGGTGGCGGGTGTTGCGGTGCCCTTGTCCTGGGCGCGGAGGCCATGGGCCAGCGCGTTCAGGAAGATGGCGTAGATGGCTCCCGAGGTGCCGTCCATTGTGTTTTCGACAATGGTCACAATGCGGTTGACAGCCGTCACGGCGTCGTCCTTGATGTTGGCCTTGGGGTCGTTGAGGAAAGCGAGCACGGCTTCAGCACCACGCTTGAGACCGACACCGCAGTCTCCGTCACCAACGATCGAGTCGTAGCGGGTGACGTCGGGTTCTGCGGCGATAACGCTCTTGAGACCGGATCCTAGGACCCTCTTGATAATGGAGGGGTCCACTGTGTTTGATTAGTTATTGTTCATGTCGCATGGAAAAAAGCCAGAAGACTTACATTTGACATTGCTGGGCTGTTCCTCAGCCAGCTTGGTCTTCTTAATCTCCACATGCGAACCAGCGCGCTGGTTCCAGGTCTCCCGCTTGATGGGAGCAGACCAGCCGACAGCCTGAGCATCTGCATCCAACAGGTCGAGCATGCCCTTGCCATTGCCCAGACCAGTATCAACAACCTTGAGTAACGAAACACTGAACCCAAGACCGTTCAAACTGGTCAGGAAGGTTCCTTGCAGTACACGGCAAGGCCGGATTTGGTAGTCATTGTCAAGCTGGCTGTGGACCTCATCGGTAATACCGGAGAGTTCAAGGGTGCTCAAACCACCGAGGTTGTTGATCAGCAGGACGAATTCATCACCGGCATTATGAGTAATAAAGGCACGGTCTGGGTCATTGTGGTCCAGGATCTGAAAAAGCATAGTCTTCACTAGCTCGGGCAGGCTAGCCTTGGTTCGGTGAGAACCGGGTTCGTTGTGGATACCCATTCCAACTTCGATCTCGTCATGAGGCACCGTATCCTCGGGAATGGGACGGCCGGGGATGTGAACGTGCTCAAGAGAAGCACCGACAGAAGCCAGGTTCTCGTTGGCCAATTGGGCCAGGTCAAACACCTGCTTAAGCGATCCACTAATTTCCGAGTTAGCGATGGCGCCTATGCTTACTCATAGCAGGAAACATACCCTTCCTCAGCCAATGCACCAACGATCTTGAGAATTAGGATACCACCCGCAATACCCCGACGACCAACCTTTCCACCCTTCTTCTTCCCCACACCAGCATCATCATTGACCGCAAAGAACTCTGTCTGAATACCGGCTGCGCGGGCCTTTTCTGTAGCCATACCAAAGTTCAGGACATCACCAGTGTAGTTCATCGGGATAATGAGGACACCCTCCTCATTGTCAATGTAGTCCATAACACCCTTGCGGATCTGCTCTGCAGAGGGCGAGGCAAAGATGGTTCCAGCAATGGAGGCATCGAGGAGGCCCTTGCCGACTAACCCAGCGAAGGCAGGTTCATGACCGGAACCACCACCAGAGACAATGGCAACCTTACGCTTTGCTTGAGGGTTGGGACGGCGGAATATGATCTTGTGTTCAGGGTCGAAGGCGAGGGAGGGATTGGTGACAGTAAGGGAGTGAAGGGCGGTTTGGACGAGGTGGGAGGGATCAGAGAAGAAGTGTTTTGCTAGAGATGTTAGTTTGGCCAGTGTACAATATGGTGAGTAGGGTACAAACTTTGCATGGTGGATTATGTGAGAGAATTGGTATAAGAGGATAGATAAAAGAAGAATAGGGTAGATCTGTTGTGTCAATTGAACAGACCAGAAGACCAGCTTACAACCCGAAGAGCAGGAATGAATATAGAGAAGAAGATAATAGACTCAAGAATCGAGACACCAGGCAAATAAATAACCACAGCATCCTCCATCCCCCCGACGCAGACCACGACGAGAACGAGAGGATGACAAACAAAGAATCCCAACAGGTTTTGTCCATGTGAACACCTGACCGACCCGCATTGCCTAATTGGGTCGGGACATGTCCAACTATAGACTGCCATATCAGGCAAAGAATGCCTCGGCTTACTCTCTCCGGAATTCCGCTATATCCAGGGTCCAATCAAGTCAATTTCATTCCCCGTGGGACAGTGTGTCTTGTCTGTACTATGTATGGGAGGAGAATACAGAGCACACGGGGGCACATATTCTCTGCATGTTCGCTGCCCATACTGGGTGTCGGTGAATGGCCATCCCTTGCGCGTACACACAGCAGCAAAAGCAACCCAACAGGAGTCGGTCATGGGACCTGAAAATTTGTCCCGATCCAGACCTGAAAACGATCATGTGCACTAGCTGACTAACCGGGGGATCGATGGATCGACGCGTCCCTGAACTAGAGCTTTGCACGTGATGGTCTGGACTCTTTTAGTTCTGACTGATCATTCGGCGGCTGTTCTTGTACTCCCTACACCTGTTACAAGTATCAGGTCTACGTACTTGATAGTATGTACTTGTACGAGTACTCTGTGCTACAACAGAAGGATGTTCTATGAATAAACGAATCACCACAATGGAATTTCTAGAACAAAGCTTCCCCAGACCCCGGATCCACCAATCTCGGAGCCGTTCCGAGTCTGGAGTGCATACGCTCATATCCTAGTCCTTGTATACTTGTCATGCATCACCATTTATTATAACGACACCGCTATATTCAAATGCTATATCCAACCGTTACGCCACATACTGGTACCGATTGCCCTCTTCCCGCTCCATGTAGTCTTTCTCGATCAACCTGCGCGAGTCAGTGTCAGCACATCTAATATCACTCCAATTCAAAGAAAGGAACTTACTTCTCTATATTCTCCTTGATCTCTGACACCTCCAACATCCCCCGACTCCGCGTCGCCTTGATTACTTCTGCAACTAATTCCGCGTGTGTGATGGTCTTGCGGCTTTTCATGATTCGTACGATCGCCGCTTGTGTCTCCATGTGTCGATCCACGGCAACCCGCTCATGCGTCGTCTTGTTCTCCTCCTTCGTCTCCTTCAGTTGAATCTGGTTAATCTTGATCCGCATTTTCGGGTCTGTGAAGGCCTCATTGAACGCAAATTCATCTGTTGGGTTCACATCCCGACCTTTCGGTCGCTTGCTTAGTACCCGGTACTTGGCACACGCTAGTGACTGTAGTGTCCGTTGCAGTTCCACATCCGCTAGTCGAGTTAGCAAACCGCCCAACGCATATAGATCAGTTGACTTACACAATAGCGTCTCTTCCTGGATCTGAGAGTACTGCAGCGTCCCACCCTCGGGAACGTCGTTGAACAGCAACAGCACAATCGCCTGCGATGAACTGACCACCAATTCCTTGACTCCCTTCAGGAACCGTGCCCGTAATTGACAATGTGCCAACTGATGCTTCCAGTGAAGTTTCCGCCCATTATACTTGTTGTGGTAAAACTGCTCAAAGTCATTTATCGCCGTTGCCACGACAGGCGGGATCTGCATTTGCACATCTGAGTATGTCGGCCATGACGATGCTGACAGCACATTGACATTCAGATCAACCGGCAACCGGTGTTTCCGCTCACGCTGAATCGAGCTGTATCCTGCCATCTCGTCGCGCGCAACATCCACGTCCTTGAACATTGACTCGAGGTTGTGCGTGAAACTCGACCCACATTCTATTATTGGTCAGCGAAAGGAAACGCCAAATAAAAAAAAAGAACTATTCAACTAACCTGTCCTGAGCTTCGTCAGCATGCTTTTCTCCGCATCATCACTGGCACTTCGTCCCATCAATAACCGACGTGCCAGATCGTTCTTGTAGAATGTTTCAAACACCAGTTTGCCATGCACAAACCGGAACAGATCTAGCACCTGGTCCAGCTGGCGGTTGATCTCAGCATCCTCATCTGCAAGTGGCATATCATCCGGTTTCCGTCCTGTTGGTAATTTCCATCCGCCTTTCAAAAGCCGGTCCACGTGTTTGGCAATCATCTCTCCCATCTTCGTTTCCATCTTCGAGTCCTTATTCATAAACGCGTCAAAAGATTCTCGCAGCGTATGCCCCAATTCCTCATGGCGATGGAACGAACCCGTCCATGTATCGTCGAGCTGCTGCTTGAATTCCAGCAACCGTGGTACCACCTCCCCCTCCTTGTCCTCGTCGGCGACGATTCCACTGCCTTCTTCCACAATGTAGCTCCCAAAAGCCGACTTCAGACATCCGCCAAGATCCTTGCGCTCCAGCAAAGCATACAATTTCTCCAATGCCGTCTTGTTGCTGGCCCGTAGCAGTCCGAGGATGTCTTTCTTGTCAAGTAAGAAATCCTCTTGACTTAACAAAATTTCATCCAGAATCTCCGATAGTTTCTGTTTTGTACTTCGGCTAAGAGAGAAGAGTTCGCATCGGTTCACTTCCCGCTCGATCAAGCGATGGCTGTTCTCCACAAATGTAGCAATGTACCCAGTAGTCTCCTGCTGGGTCCACAATGAGAAATATTCTTTCGACTGCGAAACAAGAAGCGGTTCAAAATCGCTAATATACACGTCGAGACCATGGAACAGGTCGGTCGCGTTACGGAGCAAGGACGAGTCAGCCGTGGTGTTATTGCCTTCACTCCGATCTGCCTCCACCAAATCGCAGGCACCTTGCAAGATCTTCGGTTTCAATATCGCATCGGAAAATATGTGTGATCTGAACTGAAGCAGTCCCATTTCGCGGATGATGGGGAACTCTTTCGAATGAAGGAGGAACGACTGGTCGAGGTAGTAAAACATCCACCGGACCGTTACCTATAAACGATCGAGTCAATTCCTGGAATACCATCCACCTAGCATACTGTGAAGTACATACCAGCTCTGATTGCCATGTTGCCCATGTGTCCACCACAGCTCGTAGGATATCAATGTCACTACCACCCCCAGCTTTCGCGACCAATGTCTCCCGTAGCTTCCCCGACACATGTTCTCGACAGCGATCCTGCAATTTCTTGGCCAAAACTGCCGCTTTCCCTTGACGACATACATTTTCAGCGCCCTTGTAGAGTTCCTCCAGCGATGTCTCCGGTTTCCCGCCGCCAAAGACGGCACCCAATGACGTATCCAACTGACCCCATACCTTCTCAAAATATGAATCCTGGTTCAGCCGTGGGGTCGTCCGGAGGTTCTTGACAAACAATTTCTTCGCGCCGGTATGTGGTGTGAAGTTGCTTTGACGGGATGTCGCAAAGGCGGGGCCAGCCCTGGCCGTTGGGTTGGAAGCGCCAGACGAGCTCTGCCCAAATGGCCCGCCTGCTTTGGAATCCGAATTCGAGAAATTATACATGCTACTCGGGGATTTCAACGCTTGCGGTCGGGTCGAAGATGACGAATCTGAAGAAGTGGACGATAATCGAGCACGCTTGGGGGAGAAATATGGCGGATGGCCTCTATCCTGGTTTCTAGACAGGAGCTCTGAAATGGTCTGTTGCTGTTGCGGGGGAGGGTGGTGTGGTTGTTGACGCTGAGATGATGATGATGCTTCCTCCTCGGAGTTCTTTCTCTTGCCAATCGACTTGCGCTTACCGGTCCTTTGCTCGGTGGCGCCTCTCGAGTTCTGCTGCATCTACCCGGTTCTGTCCGCAACGGGAAGCGTTTCAGCGTCGGAAAGATCCAGCAAATTCCTGGACCATATAAAACATGGCCAGATTGCGCCGAGTGCTTTGTCGTTGGGCAAGTAGAAGTGGCAAGCAATAATGATTGAGAAGGTGAGGGAGCGAAGAGGACGAGAGAGCGACTCCGCAGGCGAGGTTGGCGGAGATAAGATAATACGTCCATGGGTCTTGTTCGCTACCGTAGTGATGTTATACCTAAGTACGTTATGCAGATGGAGGATTTAGTTACAAGAATATGGACTACAATACGCTGAGCGGTCGCAAGGCCTGCATTGGTAGCACTAAACATAATTGATGAATGCTATATCGGTAAATCACCTATAAGCAGCATGATATATCTTGTGTTAAAAGACAGGAAAATGGCTTAAATCTCAACGTCCACAGGAAAAAAACAGAGATTCCAAAGGCAGCATAGCCTTCATCTTAACAGCAATTCCTTTATTCTGACCGAAAAACCCATTTTGTCATCTATTTCAAATGTATTCGAATCAACTCGTTGAAACTGGACTCGCAAGCTGGAAGATCATTCGGCAGTCGACCGTCTTTGGAGAATTTAGGCAGGCTTGTTAAGTTTTGGATGTATGCCACGCCGTTCCATGTCGACCTTCTCAGCCTCTATGAAATTGGAAAACCTTCTCAGACGGCTGAAAGGTATCTCATCTGAGCCTCCAGCAATACTTGTAATCTGGTGCGATAACTCATAATCTATTATACCGGCACAGGCTTGGCTGATTGGGTCACTAGCTGACACTTTCAAGCATTGCATTTGTCTTGCCAGCACCTCCCACCCGTACATGTAGTCGAAAAAGATTCATTCGGGAGCTGTTCCAAATTGCTAGACGCACGACGCAAACCCTTCTTGTATTCATCCATTTCGAGTGCTCGAGAGGGGAAGGTAGCAAGGAAGAGCGACTTCAAATTGGACCAAGACTGACGGAGCTCCTTTGGAGTCGTATGGTACCATCGCCTTGCTTGGCCTTCGAGATGATGCCTAAAGGCCCTGATAAAGTCTGGTTCGATGATATCCTTGTTCTTCGCTATCTCTTCGCTGCTGAGATTTCCAAGTCCCGAAAGCATATAATGCTCC